GTGCCTGTGGGATCGGCACTCCAACCAATTGTGGGCCGCAAAGTGTCCATTATGTAGATCCTTATGGATCTCATAATGTACCACAAGAATTGTCCTAAAAATAAATATATATTTGTGGGATGGAAGGAGTTTGGAAGGATTTAAATTACAAATTTGTCCCCAACTACAAATGATTTTGACCGACAAGAATGTAAGATATCAACTATCGAGTGCCACAATGGACTTATTTGCCACACTGATGGCGATGAGTTAGTCAATGTTGACTCTAGACAAAATTAGCCTAATTAATTTGGTGACACGTGAATTTTACATATACATTTGTCAGAAACAATAATATTTTTGCCGCAGTGATTACTTGACACTGCCTCAATTTGTTTCTTGTATGCCCAGATCATGTCGCCAATCATTACGCCCGAAAAAATGTTTGCCTAATTAATTGTGATTGTGTATAATTGTTTATACGTAATTCTATTGTTTTAATTGTAAAAGATTCAAATTCTTTTTACCAATATAGCCAAATCTTTCATGTCATAATTTTACAATTCTAAAATTCTCAGACAAATAGAAGCAATCGAGCCAAGTAAAAGTTTAGCTTTCAGAAAATAGAGGTCATGTCTCTTAGGGGTACTTATGATTAAATCATTGCTCATAACAATTTTAATGTGTCATTGACCCAAATTTATGTTAAATTCCATGTCATCTAACATACCTAATGACACAAGATTCATCTTCAAATCAAGAACATAATTTGTTCCTTTCAGGAATAAAACGTTACAATTATCCAATAACAATTTTATGGCACATATCCCTTTAACTTTACATGTAATATTATTTCCCAATATAACTTGTCATCTAGTATTTGTTTCAAAATCAAGAAATCAGTTTTTATTTGGGCACATGTGGAAGAAACAACCAGAGTCAAGTATCCATTCATAATTCAGTTGGTTTTCCACATTAACAAGGACTAGGCTAGTTTCAAGCTTAGTTTTATATACACCAAAACATTATTCTCATCATCAAACCTCTTTTCTTTTCAATAGTTTTTCTTCTTAAAGTAATCATTAGTAAAATGATCCAACTTCCTATAGTAATAACACTTTTTACCTTTAGCATTATTTTTGCACTTATTCTTATCACTCAATTTATTTTTATTTTCAATAAAAGACTTTGAGTGATAATTTGATTTACCAAAAACTTTTCTTTTTACTAACAAATTATCTCTATTTTGAATATTACTAGAATCAAGTTTCATCCATAGAGCCTTATGTCTTAGGGAATTAATTATAATATCAGTGGTAAGTTCTTCCCTACCATATTCCAGAGCAACCTTGATAACTTTATGTCTAGTGATCCATATCAAAAGAAAATAATTGTTTCAATAGAAAACATTTATTAAGAGTGGGTTTTGTTACATATTTAGCATGAAATTTAGTCCACAATTTGAACTCATAAGATCCCAATCTTAGGAATTGAATTGGGACTGCAATGACAGAATTAAAATGCTCCCAATGTTTCCTGTAATGTCCAAATCTTTAGAATGTTGCCTTGTCAAACTAGCCCATATAGTCGAGGGCAAAAACATATTGAATGCGGATTCTTGTGCTGAAGTTGGCATTTGTACTTATCATTTGAAAACAGTGTCGTCGAACGTCTGCATGGTTTAATCAATTGGCATCGAAATAGACTTTAAAGGTACCTTCGACAGTTAATGATAAAATTTCTCCATGTAGAATTTGTACTGACCCTATTACCAGTCATGTCTACAAAACATGGACTAAGGTTTTGTGGGATGTTATTGTCTTTCCAGTCATTTTTACGGGAGCTGTACTACTAGCGATGTGAGAGTTATTATGAATAGTAGACATTTTCAATTGGAATTGGTAAAAGAGAATTTCTGCCATAATTACCATTTTTCTATCTATTTAAATAGTCTCATTACATAAATTACCAAAATGTTAAATATATTTTTGAACTAAAACAACTTTCTATTTCCTCCATAACTATTAACTTTTCTTTTCTTCTCATTTTTATTCGTGGTGGTAGAAGGTGCAAACTCTCCCAAACTATTAAGTTGGAATGATGCTAACTAGCACATGCGGTGCTACAATAGCAATTTAGGTGACATTAAGTGATATGTTCAATAAAAGGGAGAATTAATTGATCCATTTAATTATATATCTCCGTTAATGCCACCTAAACTGATGTTTTAACATCAATAATGATAAAATAGCATTACTTATTAAGCTAACCAAGAATTCAAAGACCATACATTTGAGTTGCTACAAAAAATGCCTAAACTGATAGAGTATGCCAGGTCACGAGACACACTATAAAACACGTCAACTAGTGACGGAGAAAT